TTCAAACAATAAAAGCAAGTTTCTATACATGTATAAGATTTTCATGATTTCCTAACATAAATATTGATTTAATTTTTTTATGATAAATATATACTTTCCAATACTACAAATAATCCATAAAGTCTTTCCAATCTTATTTATAGTCAAGTTAAAGAATAATACTGTAACTAATTTGAAGCAATATTAAAGTGGCATAATTAAGGAAACAAATATTTCGTATTTTAAAAGGCTAATATTGTTTTTTTATATGAAAATTAAATAAAACTATACAATTTAGTTTGACGTCAATTATGAAATCAATACAAACATTTAAAAAAAAATCAGATGTACAATAAAATATTGTGCACCTATTATAAAAGTTATCCTGTAATGAATGAAAGTTATTTATGCTTTATTGATAAAAGTTACCCAAAATAGTCTACAAGTTATCCTAAATTCAATTCAAGTAATCGGTTGAATACAAAAGTTTTTGATAAAGATACAAAATAGTGTAAAAATTACTTTTATCGTTTGTTGTACTCATTGACAAATACTGAATGCTGAGCCGAAATGTTGTCTTGGAAAAAAATACATAATCTTGAACAAAAATTTAATTTTAAACGGCCTTTCATTTTTTATACAATGTCTTTTACAATGACCTTTTGTTTTTCTTGAATTAAAAATAATAATAATAATAATAATAAATAAATAAATAAATAAAAAATTAACCAATAGCCAATCTAAAGAAGAATAAAAGTTAAATTGAATTAGACATTTGACGGAAAAAAAAGATAGATATAAAATGTATTATAACTATTACTCGTGTTTTAGATTGTAATATTCGTATTAACAATGCTATTCTAGATATACAACAATCATGTGCAATAATTTATGTTGTTTTATATATAATAATACTTTTAATAACTATAATAGTATGTGTATATAATATAATATAATATTTTTTATAATATAAAAAAGTATATGTATATAATATAATATTTTATAACACGCGTCCTCTATACCAAGTGTTTGGTTGTTGGTGTAGTGATGATTGAGACTACACTTGGTAGGGGAACCTGTATTCGCTCCCCTGCAACAACAATCGAAAGGGGAGTGGAACCTAATAGCCTAAAAAAGATCCTCAAATCTGGATTAGCCCAAAGGGTGAACCGGATAGAACACCCAAAACTCAATGCATATATGACGGGAATTAACTTATCCTTTATCTATCTTATACAAAACTCCAAAGTCTAATTTTTTTTTCAAAATATAATAATAACATTTGTAAATTTTTGTTAATATGAAATATATAAACCTATGCTATTCTCAAAAAAAAAAAAAAAAAAAAAAAAAGATATAAACCTATCAAAATGTATATATAGTTAAATTGTTTAATAACTTATATCGAATGCGTAGTTTTATTAAAATTATTTGCACGTAATCATTAATTGTGTTGGATGTGTGTGTAGCTATGCAATGTCCAAAAATTTAGTTGAGCGACTTTGATTTAGTGATTGTACGGTAAAAAGATATTGACTCCGATCTTGAAACCTAATAGTATAATAAATTCTAAATAGAAAAATTAAAACAAAAGGAAATGAAAATAGTAAATGGCTTTAAATATTGAAATAAACATAACCTTTTAAATCAATTTAGCGAATTCAAGAGACAATTTTAAGGCTTTTAAAATTAAATGGGGGGAAATATATGTAAAAAGAACATTTTTAGATATATAAATGTCCATGCACTATTATAAGAGTTTTGTTAACCATTTTATAATTAAGATAGGGATAAATCTTAGTAATATATACTCCGTATATTTTATTTATATAATTTATCAGTATCCATACCTATATACAAGTATTTGTGTTGTATACTATATTTAATTAGCTGTTGGTTATATATATGACTATTATATAATATATAGTTTTTAGCACAATGCTTAACTTAGGAAAATATATGTTTTGGTAGGTCATATATAAGGTTATTATTGTGTCTATAGATTTAATGAGTGCGACGGGTAAATAAAACATGTGTATATTAGATTGATTGTAACTACTGATGCGAATGGTATGATAAGAAAATTTTAGTTTTTTTCAACGGGAGATATAAATAAATTAGCCCACTTCTTATATAGCTATGTGGAGTATTATTCAATTATTTTTCAATTAATAAAATAACATTATAACCTTTAATAGTAAATGAATTACCTTTGTTTTTATTTTTATTTTTCCTACGGGTTTTATAATTTGATTTATTAATCGTGCATCGCACGGGCACTATGCTAGTTATTCACTATCCAACTATCCATACATGCTTCAAAAGATCAAATTCTTGGTGTTTGGTTTTTTAAAAATCAATTAAAATAGTTAAAAGCCAGATTAGATAGTACAATTCGTTCCATCTTAACTTCTTTTTTTTTTTTTTTTTTTTTGACAAGGTTCAATCTTAATTTCTTCCATATTGACTTAAAATCTAAGAAAATATTACCTTCAATTTTGAACTATTATTTATGAGGTATAAAATATTCCAAAATTGCACATAACAAAAAAAAATTGACCAAACACACCTACGAAATTTCATGAGCATACCTAAAATTAGAACAACTCATCGACTGAGTCTCATACGGTATAAACAGTAGACTTGACATAAATACATGGGCATCAAAAATGCTGTGATGAAATTAGGTGCAATGCATGAGTAATGTGGGGGGCCGTACCAAACAATACATACATCCATCTACATAACATGCATGACTCTAATAAAGTAACATGATTGATTTATACTTTTAAAGTAAGCACATTTAATTTATACTTGTATAATTAGAGCTGTTAATTTGGGTAAATGGGTCGGGTTTGAGTCGGGTTAGTGTGGGTCGGGTCATCTCGGGTTGGGTCAGTACGGGTTAATGTCGGGACCTATGTGGGTCGGGTTCGGGTTGGGTCATGCTTGCGTCGGGTCACGTCGGGTCATACATCTTATCGGGTTTGGGTCGGGTTTAGGTCGGGTCAATAAAAGGCCGGGTTACATTCGGGTCAGGTGAAAAACAGGTCGGGTTACATTCGGGTTTTTACGGGTTTAAACGAGTTAGGGTCCTGTTTGGGTTCGAGTCGGGTTCGGTTCAAGTCAATTATTTGCGGGTTATAATCAGGTCGGGTCATTATCGGATTCGGTTCAAGTCAATAATTTGCGGGTTATAATCACGTCGGGTCATTCTCGGGTTCGAGTCGGGTTCGGTTCAAGTCAATAATTTTTTTTTAAAGCTCCAAATCAAATTGCATAATTTAAAACATTTTTAAAAATATTATAATAAATAAGTGAATACTAAAATTTAAAAAACTGATCAATAAAAGGATTATAAATAGTTATATGGAAGTTTATTTTTAAGATAAATTTAGAAAAAAAAAAAACATTTGGCTGATTTAATTAGACAAAATCACTATCATCGATTCACCTCACTCACCTCATATAGCCTCAAATACGTTTAAATTCAGGTTAGTAATAGGTCGAGTTTAATTTCGGGTCGGGGCAATAACAAGTCGGGTTGAATTTGGGTCGGATAAATAACAAGTCGGGTTGATTTCGGGTCGGGTTTGTAACAGGTCGGGTTTAAATTCGTGTCGGGTTAGGAACGGGTCGGGTTGACCTCGGGTCGGGTTAGTAACAGGTCGGGTTGAATTCTGGTTTTGACGGGTTAAATCGGGTTTGGGTCATTCTCGGGTTCGAGTCGGGTTCGGTTCAGGTCAATAATTTATGGGTCACATTCGGGTCGGGTCCTCTCTAGGTCGGGTTATGGTCGGGTTCGGGTCTCAAATACTCGGGTCAACTCGGGTATAGGGTTGGTTTCAGCTCTGGTTAGGTCGGGTTCGGGTCACCATTTTTTTCGGGTTCAGACAGGTTAGGGTTAGGGTCGGTATTTCGGGTCGGGTCAGCTTTTGACAGCTCTACTTGTATATTTTCTGGCTCTGTCTACTTAATTAGCATGATTCATGGCATCTTAAACGCATATCCTCTGCATAAACTCTTCTTCGTCATCATCTTTTTCATCTTCAAATCTCAACTACTTAACATAAAGATTATAACATAAAAGATAAACGTACATTTTCCAGTTGGCAACCTCTACCAAATTTACATTATGCTTTAGAAAATTCAATAGCCATCATTTTAACAACTAACCACCATCTTCAAATGCCGACAATACGCATCTTCTTATGAATTTTCGTTTTTTTGAAACGTTTTTGTAAGAAATGTCCTGGAAAATGCTATCTTTTTGTATATATTTTACTTAGCTAAGTTTTCGTTTGTTGACTATAAACCCATCAACAAGCAAAATGGAAAGTACTTTTAATATTCATGGTTTGTGTTGAAAAACAATGCAATTTAAGCTAAAGGATAACGATTAGTCTTTAAAAGTCAATAGTCTTATATATGCACATCATCCTTCCATCTCTTGGAAGCATCTAAACTACAGGAGCGTGCAAGTTGTAATATACATCAGCATGTGAGAAACGTATATATACACCATTATTTAAAATACTCTTTAAACTATCTCGTAGTGTTAATTTTTTTTTTTTTGAACATCTCTCGTAGTGTTAATTAATACAGAGTAATTTCAACTTTCAGCTCTTGGAAAAATCTTGACTATACAAACATGCACGTTATAACATACACTATACCCGTCTGTACATAAGCAATCATGTATACTACGTGGCTATTCTAAATACTTACATTGTTATTTCTACTGTATAAAAATTTCAAATTATCCAGCAAACTATTGTATTGGTAACAATTTCTGACTTCTTTATAAAATCTCCAAATTATCCAACACTAACCTGGGAATTTTATTTACAAATCTCCAATTATCCGACAATCTTTAATCTAAATAACTCTATTTTCACACTATTGATTTAGCAACTTAGGATTTGTTTGAAATGTTTTTTGGATTTTTTGAAATGTTGATTTGAATGGATACTTCTAATAGTAGTCACCCCACAAAGTATAGCTGTGTCCAACAAAGAACGAGTAAAAAGATTGAAGAATATCATTCAAAGTTGTAACAAAAAATCATGGTATACTCATCTGATACACGATTTTACTGATACAACTTGTATATTTTTTAAAGAAAAAAATTAATCCAAAAAAATTAACCTAATAATAATATACACAAAACCAATATTCCACTAATGACCCCGTATATCACATGCAACATCAATAGTAATTTAAAGTACCCACGTCTCACCGACAACTCCACCACCACCACTTTCCGTCCCACGTTCTCCCATTACAACCCTCAATGCTTAGCCGTCCGATTTCTCCGATTATCCAAACTATTACCGTTATCAAGTGTTTGATCGTGCTCCCAAAAATCCCCAATAAAAGTTTTAGCCCCATCTAAGCTAGGATAATAAGTTGGTTCTAGAAAGATCTGACTCAACAAATCGGACGACTCAGAACCACCCACGACAGCGAAATTAGCCTTGGCTTCTAAACTCCCCATCATAATCATCAACAACTGTTTATACCTAAAGAAGAACCCTTTCACACCTGATTCCACCCCTTGAAATGCTTGCAACAGATGAATCTTCTCGAACCTTCTCTTCTCTCTGTATAACTCCATTGCCGATTCTTGTATCACCGGCCCTCCCATGGGGTCCACCTCCACTTCTAGAATCTCCGGTACCTTGTGTCGCAAGTCTTTGCTTAGCTTTGTTATCTCGATTAACCCCTTTGATCGGAAACAAAAGGTTTCTGAATCCGACGTCGTTTTCATCTTCAATTGCGTTTTTAATTGCAGGAAATCGTCGGGATCCATTAGTAGGTGAAGACTCTCGATTTGTTCTAGAAGCTTCCAGATTCTTTCTAGAATCCAACAATCGTCTGTTGCTTTGTTGAATTCCTCTTTGCTGATCCTCTCTCCTACTCGGACGATCAGCTTCTTCGCTGCGAAAACCCATGACTCGAAAATCTGGTGAATCGTGAATAATATCTGGTTTTCTGGGTTTGGAATATGATCCAACGCGCCCTTCTTAAGCGCGTGCAGTTCACACGGTCGGCAAACAACGTCGTAATCCAAATTGGGCTTTCCGTCCAAATTGGGCTCACCCAGGCCCAAAGTATACGCGCATCTTCTCATAGCCGACTCAATCGCGTAATATATTCTGGAAGAAATCTCCTCCGATTTCTGCCACGTGGCTAACCGCGGCAACAGACTTGCTTCGCTACTACGGCAGACCACCGTAATATTGTGTTCATTATCAGCTAATTTCCAAACTTCAGCGGAACTTCCAGTTTGTGGGACCACCTCACCAAACGATGAACTCAAATCAACGATCGGCGCTGCGCCACGTGTCTCATCGTCTTCACATAATACAGAGATTAACTCGACTTGATCCCTTGCTAACGACTCTAACCTCCGGTTCCATTCACGGTGGTTCAAATACGGTCTGTTGTCGTTTAACACGAGTGAAATGAACCGGAATGTGATTTCTAATGCTTGTAAAGCGGGTCGAATAATGGACTCGTTTTCCCAACCCGGAAATTCGACGGAACTCCATAACAGATGGAGTTCCGGTAAGCGGAGATAGCTTTCGTAGGCTGAACAAGATGATTCCGACGCCGGAGATAATTCTCCGGCGGTGAATGGAACCGGAGAAATGAGGGGGTTAGACGTGGTTCGTTTAGGGGTGAGTTTGGGGGATTTTTTGGTGAGATTTGGGGTTGATTGTACCATTTTAGTTTTACAATCGAAATCAACCATTTTTTGTTATTGTTGTTTGAAATTTGAGTTTTTAGAGAGAGAAAGAGGATAGAGGAGAGAGAAAGATGAGTTTGGACAAGATAGATTTTTGTTGTTGTAGGGTTTGTCTCTGAGAAAGGAAGAAGAGGGAGGAAGGAGGTATATATAGGTGGAGTTGTGAAGAGTGGGACCGAGTTTTAAAGCCGTGTGGAAAGGGCTGGCGTACAAGGGCGAAATCGTGTACCCAAGGAGGAAAAAAATAAATTAAAAAGTGAAAAAGGAAATGGATTTTCAATTATTTAATTTTTGGCGGTTTGAGATTCTGGATAGATTACTATGGAGTATTTTAAATTTGAATTTAAATTTAAAATACCTGTATTTGCATTATCCATATTTACCCCGTAGTTTTTTTAAAAGAATTCATTAAGAAAACACACATTAGTGAGCATTCTTTTTGCTCATGAGCAAAAATAGTAAGCAAATTTGTTAAAAATAATTCCCCATCAATGAGCATATTGAAAAATGCTCATGAGCATTTCTGATTTTGCTCATCCTATGAGCATATGAGCAAATTTGAGGATGAATAGTAACTACATGGGGCCCAGCAACTCTCCAATTTCCCTATCAGCTTCTTCCTTAATTAATTTAAAACGGCTATTTTGGACGATTTATAATTTTTTTTTAAAAAAATCATCAACAGTTATAATTTTTTTTTTCTCTACAAATAGAGATCCATTTTGACATATTTTGGTATAATTTCAAAAATCACAAAAACACTCTATATTATTCTTACTCCCATTTCTAGTGAGATTTATAACTTATAATTGTTTAGCGATTAAAATTCAATATTATTAATTAATATTTAAAAATTCTATTAAGTTAAATAATAGTATAATTGTAATTAGTAGCACTAAAACTTCATTTAACCAAAACATAATTAATAATAATTGGTGATGTGTAAGAGAGAAAAATGTTGGTGGGGTATGTGAAAAAGTAGGAGAGAGATTGATGGACAATTTTTTTTTTGCTCACTAGTGGGATAAAATTTGCTCACAAAAAAAGCTCTTGGTTGGCAAGAGAGAGAATGAACAAATTTTTTTTGCTCACTAGTGTGAATGCTCTAATAGGGTAATTTTAGTCGATTAATCAAAAATCATTTAAGGTTCGTTTGGTAATACTGTTTTTTTCTTTTATGAAATTTAGTTTTTCAAAAGAGGGTATTAATTACCGCCATCCAAAATCGCCAACATTTAATATGAATGGACAATCATGCCTTTAATACTTCATTACTATCTTCGCTCTTGCCACCAATCAGTCAATCACTAACACCTTGACACCACTATTCTAATTGACAACTATCACCACCACTGACCGGTGACGACCACCACTATCACCATCCTGACCGGCGATGACCATCACCACCACCCAGACCAGCGACCCACCACCTCACCCTACAAAAACTCGAATTCTAAATCAAAATCGAGATTTTTAAATCAAAACCATCGAGTACAAATCAAAAACTCACAATTCCAAATCCCATAGTATAATCGATTGATTTTTTGCTGAAACCATTGAGTTCTTGAGGAAATTCCATTCTTGATCTTGCAAAACCTTAATCAAATTGGGGGAAAATCTAGGGTTATGAAAATCAAAGATTTCTTGCAAATGGAGGGTAATTAAAACAAAGAGATAAAGAGGGGAGAGGGTCAGGTTTTCGATTTTTTTGGGCAAAATTCGTCCCAACACCCATAAATTTCGCTACGAAAACTACTACAAACACCTGAAAACCTAAAAATCGGCTGTGGGGTAGGGGTTTTCGATGGTTTTGAGTTTTTGACTTTTGAGCAAGGGTTTGGGGGAGGATGGATGGGTTTTCGATCTGGTTTCGCGTGGGTGGGGGTTTCTGGATTCAAGGTTCGGGTTTGAGGTGGTTGGGTGTTGTGTTTCTGGGTTTTGACTAGGTGGTGGCTGGTGGGGTGGGGTTCCTTGCTAGTGTAGGTAGGTAGTGGGCGTAGGCCTGGCCGGAAATGGAGCCATTCTCATGGAGCTGAGGTGTGGAAGGGAGGAAGAAGATGAAGAGGAAGGGAAAAAATGGAGGAAGATTTTTTTTATTTTAACTTTTTTAAAATCAAAAATATTTTTTAAACTAATGAAACTGCGAGACGTGGCAGGTGACTTATTATTATAGCTAAGTGACCTATTTGACCTAATAGAATAGAACACCCCCTAAAGCTTCGATTATTGTAGAATAATCAAATGGTTGGATTAATAATAAATAATAAAAAAATAAAAAAAAAACAGCTTAAAGGTTGGATTATTAAAATCAAATTTTCCTATGAAAAATGTAATGATTCTTTTTAAAAAAATTAATGAAAGGATAATTTTATACGTAGCCCTTAGCTAGGGCGATGTAAGTACTCCGTACTATTAAATATACTTTCTAAAATTGAATTGAGTTGGAAATTTATGGATAAATTACACGTTGATCGATAGAATTAAGGTTAATTTATCCTCAATATGATTATAAACTTTTTGAACAAAAAATACGGAGTAATTGATATGAGTACTCTTTTATACACAAATAATAATTGCATAATACGGAGTAATAAAACTACTTCATATTCAATAAGTTATGAAACACACGAGACTAATCTACTGGTATTAATCATATAATTTAATTTAGGAACCTAATGCTTTATAATGGCGGGTACATACATACGGATATCTTAAATTAATAATTACAACAAATCCAGCAAAATAACAAGCTTTTTACAATAAATATAGCGTTTTGATGCGAATAAAGCAAACACAAAAAAAAATAAACGTGGAAACGAAGGAAGCATCGTGGAAAATTGGTTATCGCAGCAGTGGTGGAGCCTTATCTTAAATGGATAGAATTAAAGGAATGTTTAGCTACTCTTGGACTTTGGTCATACACTAATACCATACAGTCGTACCCATGCATTTTATTCTCGTCAATTTTTATACACATTCTTTTTCCTCTCTTTAGAATAGACTACTGAAAACTATCATTAATGTACTAATTAGAATTAGATATATTATTTTATCTGTTCCAAATTATTCATATTGCTTATGTTATACTGTCTATCTCAAATTACTTTCAAATTTCAATAATTTTAATTTATATATAAGGATGTTTCATCTTTAAAATAACCAGTAATATACTTAATTTTCATTGGTCGGTTTTTAATTTATTTTTTAATTGGTCAAACTTATTTAGAAATGATTTTCGATAATATATAATTTTTTTTGATGGAAAGCTAGAGAGTATACGAGTATTAATCAGAAGATAAATTGTTCATAAGTACATACTCGCAACTTTGGAATATTTTATATTTCACAAATAATACCTAAAGTTGCGAGTAATTTGGACCAGAGGTGATATTTTGTTTGGTGATGATCTATCCATACTTCCTCCACTCCTAAAGGTACTACTCTAGATCAATTATGTCTAATACTTATTATCATGTATGTTTGAAAGCACGCGATACAAATAATTTGGGATAGAGGGTGTATCAAATACGGAGTATATTGGTATAAAAATCCTTGGGGGGGGGGGGGTTTGAGTGGTTGGCTTAAAAGTTACATGGTGAGCAGAAACATATTGGTGTGAAAGGCAATATAACAAAGACATGTGAAATAGGTGGGTGTTATCCATTGGCTGTAAAGAGAGGGGAGAGTGACAGGCAGTAGTTGAAATAATAAAATTAGAAAAACAAAAACAAAAACAAGGGGTTGGGTTGGGTGTTAGTTAGTTGATCTAGTAATGGATAATCCTCGGATGCTTTCTTGCAGCATGGCTTTGAATGGGTCCAGCTGGAATGTGCTCCCAACTCACCCTATTCCATGTACATTTCGCTATTTGTCGGCTCACGTCTATACTTTTTTATTGGACTACTTTTAGATTTCAACAATAATATTCCGTATTATTTATATACTTCCTTCGTTTTATAATAATTGTTACAGTAGAGTTGATACAAATTATAATTACTGGGATATATTTTATTGTTAATAGAAGAGAATAATAATAATAATAATAATAATAATAATAATAATAATAATAATAATAAAAGTAGTTTAAATGGGATTGATAGGTAAGAGAAATAATAAAATAGATGTAAGTCCTTACTAAATAAGAAAAAGGAAAATTGTTGCGATTATTATAAAATATAAGTAGGAATTAAAATTGTTCCGGTATAGATTAGAGAATTTGTGTTTATGCACATATATATCTTTAGGGTTAATTTGAGTAAATCCGCTCTAATGATAAAGTTTTTTTTTTTTTTTGAAATATGTCCAATCTAAAGATCTTACAATGCTACATACGGACAATCCATCTTTACTATAGCTTGATTCTCTGATCATTTCATTGTGGAATTAGCTCTCAAATTTGCATAATCTTCTTACTTATTTGCAATATGTATATGGAATATTTCCTCCTAGCGCCTACCCCCTCGTCTAAATAATTAGTCATATTAGATTAATGGGGTATAATTCATGTAAAAATGTATAGTCTTTTCTTAAGGTAAAATTTCTAAGTTTTATTAAAGTAATTAATTAATATTGGTAATATAAACAAGTTGCAAGTTTTATACCTACACGTACTGTATTTGGAAGGAATAATACAATGACCCAATGAGTGAAGGATTGTTGATGGGCGCAATATGGACCCCATGATGTTAATGAAAGCCATCGAAAACAAATAATTTGAATTCAATTGGTTAAAGTTTTGTATATGTATTCGGATTGAAATTAGTGATCAAATCTTAAAATACCCTTATTGTTTGTTCCACAAAGAAAATGTTATGATATACTTTAAATAACAAGATACATTTATTAATTTAAATACATAGTATAATTATAAATATTGAAAGCAATGTCATGCAGATAATCCTGGAAGTATAGTACCCATTTCTAGGCATTCTAGCTAAAATATTACACCATAATTAAGGCTGCATGAAATCAAGTAACATTCCCCCTTATAAAGAGGGACGACATGCTTCTAGTCTGTAACCGATTAAGGGAATTTCTTTTATAACTATACTCCGACACTTCCTATATAGTGTACGTAACTTTCCCATCAAATTATCCAAAAAAAGTTTGTAATTAAAATATACTTGCAAGTTGCAACTAAAATATTGAAGTTTATTATCATCTTTATCATAACCTTAATTTCTTAAGAT